TACAACATATGCCCCTTAAGCTGCATAGAATTTTGCTTGGGTTTGGTTTGTATGTGTGTGTCCTTGTTGTCCTATTACATGCAAGTCTGTCTCTGATGTTTCCAGTCCATGGTTTGTCCTGTCTGTCCGTCTCTCCTTGAGAGGCTTGAGTTATGTTTTCAGTAGTACAGGCTTGTTTGCCGATATGAAGGGAACTTTTCAGAAAGAGACCTGCTCAAGGTCACTTAATTTTGAATACAGTTTTCAATCGTTCAAGTTTTGGATGGTTTATATCTAATGTGTGTTTCATTTTTTTGGAAAGCTCTATTTTGTATTTAGGAAATGATAAACTATTTTGCTATTTGTACTGTGTGAGTACATTGGCATAAATATAAACTATATATATATATATATATACACACACACATATGCATATATGCATATATTCACACACATATATTCTTTTTGCCACAGATTTTTGTGGTAAATGTGTGAGTTTATCATTTGTTCTCCCACAACATGGCGTCTTGTAAGTAGGGGAAGGGGTGGGGCAGGGTTCTTACGTCTTTGCAAAAGTGTTTCTGTACTTTTTGAAGCAGATACCATAGTGTTCATCTCTGGCCATTCCACCAGGATACCGTCTCTACCAACTGGCTGTGAGGGCGGCTTCAATGCCAAAGTGACGCGTCTCACTTTCCAGTTGGGACCGAGCAGAAGAACCCCATTGGGGCGGCTTCTCAAGTGTTGTGGTTCCATTCAGTGCGAGCCATTCAGCTTTTACTTATTGTTAATGTCTAATATTTTATTACTGGCTTTTTAAATTTATAATTTATAATAACACTACACATCTACAGTTGGTGCCTGCTTTCCCTGTTTCTTGATGCTTGCCCTTATACTGAGAATTCCCTTCCCTTCAGTTCCCCCCCCCCCCTTGCTGGGAGGATGTTGGAGGTGAGAAGGAGTAGCCCTGGGCCTCTCTTTGTTAAGCGCCATAGGGAAGAGAGAGAGAAGGGAGGCCCCACCTGCGTGGCTTTTGCTTTCTCTTTGAGGAAGGTTGCAGCTGCACGGGGGTGTGTGTGTGTGTGTCTGACTGCTGAGGGAAGAGGCTCCTAGTCTGAGGGTGTGGCAGGGGCTTAACGGGGCTGAAGTGTGCAGCAAGCGGGGTGGATGGGTTAGAAGCAGGAGTGTGACCTGCACACGGCTGTGTCTTGTCATTTCTGTAGCAGGGCTGTTCCTTCGGGGGGGGGGGCAATTCCACATCACCAGGGACCAAGCAATCCTCCGTTGACCTCTGTCTTCTGCCCAGATCCTCTTAGTGGCTTCTCTCCAAACAGCTCCGAGAGTGTTGTGTGTGCCTCTGCCCTCCCTCTGTAAGAAAGGCTGCTACTAAGTGCAAAACAGCGACGCTCATGTTTTCTGTGGGGTTGATTTTTTCCCCTCATTTTTATTGGTCCATTTTAGGTCAATATTTAAATGTTCAACCTGTTGAATATGTGATTCGGTTACAAGAAAAGTGTGTCTTTGGAACAAAGGGTCTGCTCGGCGGCTGTCAAGAGGTTGTTGTTGCTGCTGCTGCTGCTGCTGCTGTGTCTTTCCATCACTCATTGTAGGGGAGGGGCAGAGAGCCTGTAATGCCCAAGTCCAGGGGTCAGAGCTGTTCAGCAGGGTGCTGTGGTCTTTGTGAAAGGCCGCCCTGCTTTGTTGTCACTCCTGGTCCTAGCCCGGCAGTTTAGAGCTTTTCCTGTGTCTGCCCTGCTTGTTCCGAATGATCATCTCAGTCCTCCCCCCCCCCCAAAAAAAAGGCCCCAGGCGGCAGAGGCGATGCCTTTCTGATGCCCATTGTCTCTCTCTGCCAAGTGCTTTGGATAAAACAGCATTAGGAATTAAATTTTATAGAACTTTTAGGTGACTGGCCCGTGTAAGATCCTGATGGTCAAGAGAACAGAGGCTGTTTAGAACAAAACATCTTCGTTTCTGTCTCATGCCTCTCTCCTGCGCCCTGTCTCGCTAGTAGTTACCAATGCAAATGTACCTTGCACTGGAGCAGGGCGTGGTGAGCCCAGAAGTGGGTCACTGCTTGGTCTTTAGCTCCTTGACCAGTGTTGAGTTTTAAAATTAATTAATTAAAAGTAATTTACTTAAGATTTCTGTGCTGCCTTTCAGGGCAAAGCCACCTTAAGGTGGTTCTCAAAGTAAAAACTCAAAATACTGTAATACAGTTGTAAAGAGTAAATAATGAAAACAACATGCAACAGTTAAAGCAGCTGCTCCAATGAAATATGATATTATACTACATGGGCAAATATTGGCTTGAACAATTAGGCAAGGAAGGAGCGATGGTTAAAACCCAGGTTCAGGCAGTCCATAAGAAAGAGGCTATTGCAGAAAAGGATCCACCTCTTTCACCTGTCTTACTGGCCAGGCCTCCATCCCTGACCTTAGTCCCTCGGCAGGTTCAGCCCTAGAAATAACCTGGTTTCAACTGATTTAAGGCTTTAACAACAGCCACATTCTAAATTGCACCTAGAAACATTCTGCAACCAGTATGTCTAACACAGTATTGACATTGCATGTTCTGATCAAGGTAGCCCCTGTGAACGTCTGGACTACAGACGCCTGTACTGAAACAGACTCTCCTTGCAACCTTTCTGAAAATGCCTTCGGAATCTGTTAGTTGCCCGCTTTCCTCCCATGACTGCACCGCAGCTGAAATCCTCTTATGGGCCCCACCACAGCTGCTCTTTGAATCCCTGCGCCCTTTGAGGACATTTGTGTTGATGTGGGACCCACAGCCTGTGTGGAATGAGCTCCCCTTCGGGCAAGAGAAGGGTGCTCCGTCTTTGGCATTTTGCTCCTTAGGTCTGGACCTGCTGAGAAACAAGGGCCTCTTTGTCCAGTTCTCTCAACCCCAAGAGCTCTGACACTCTTGCGCAATGTGTTAAGTTCAAGGGATCTGAAATCTAAGCTCTCTGCCCCCTGTTAAGCCCTTGATGTTGGCAGTTGCTTCCCCACCATCCTCCTCAGCCTGCTTTCCCAGTGGCTCCTTGGCTTTCCCCTCCTGTTTGCTTACAAGTTGCACAGCACCGATTGGACAGCCCCCGAGCAGCCTCTTCCGATATCCTGCAATGTGAATGTAAGCCTCCGATGGCCCCTTGTGCGTTTTATGTGTCCCCGGCTTGTGTAGGTGGGATTTTTTCAAAGCACTGATACCGGTTTTCAGTTTATTCTCTTGGGGTGGGAGGGAGGGAGGGGTGGGGTGGAGGGATGAGGGCAGGACCTCATTTGCATTTGTTTTTAGCTATTCTGTGATAACTCGTTGAATATTAAAAAAAACCCAGAGAGATATTTTGCTTCTATTGGGACATTTGTATACTTGCAACTATATTTCTGTACACAGCTGCAGTCAAGAATAAAACTTTGAAAGTTTTCATTTTGCAGCGTACAAAAAGCGTGCCTTGTTCTTTCCAACGTTTGAGGGAAGGGAGTAAGGTCAGCGACATCTTGTCTTCTCTTAGCCAGCCCATTCGTTGTCTTCCTTCTAAATCAAAGGTGGAGGGACAGGGTCCCCTAATATCTCTGTCCCCAGATTGCCTGTCGCCTGGTGGCTTTGACCAGAGTTGATGGTTGTGCCTTCCTTCCGCTCCACTGGTCACAAGGCTGAAAGCAAACTAACCCGAAGCCTCTCTTTCTCATAGTCTCAAAACATTTTTCCGATCCCTCTGCCCTTCTGGGATCCTCCACACAAGCTTGGATTCTCTCAACAACACTTCTGAGACCCTCAGAGAAAAGAGGCTTCCCTCACTGACCCTCCTTCACCCTTTGGACTTTTCATGCCTCTTCCTTGCTTCGGAAGTCAGTGTGTTCTCCCCGCTACTCTGAGGCAGAGCAGGTATTGCTGATACCTGCATTTCTGTAAACAGAAACAGGCCTGGCTTGGGACCCTGGCAACCAGGGGCTGCCAGACAGGGATGGCTGTTCACCCACTTGAGCCACATCGGGGATTTCGGAATGCTTCTTGGCTCCCTGAGGATGCCTAAAGAGCACCACGTAAACTTTCCACAAAGCACATGGAGGAGACACAGTGCCCCGGCCTGCTCAGATGCGGCTGATTTCTGGTTGCCGCCCAATCCCTCCCATGCCTTGTCAAGTTGCCAGTGGTGCGCGTTTGGAAACTCATGCCATACAGGCAAAAGTCACATGATCCAAAGATTTGAGCTGCATTAAGTTTTCCTTGCCTGAGGGACCCTGAAGGGCCCCAGTGGGCTCCTCATCCTTGCCTGGCGGTACTTGGTGGGACTTGTGAGTTTCGTGCCCACATTTTGGTCACATGAAACCAACCTTTGCCCGCATAAACGTTTGTTCCATCAAGCTACAGCTTGTCCTCGAAAGGTGTCCACCAGCAGTGCAACCACCATCCCAAAGAGGCAGCAACAGAGAGGCACCGAAAAGGATTTCAGAGAGTCCTGCTTAGGATAGTTTGCTTGACCTGAAGGGCACCTGAGTCTTCAAGAGTCATACCAGTAGGCCAGACTCTTCTGGCCCCGTCTCCCCATCTCTCCTGCAAAGACCTTGTTGGTCCTGTCAGAGCAGGTGACCTGCGTTCAAGATGCAAGGAGTCATGAGCCGCCAGGGTGTCTTAACATGTCGGCCATGTCCTGCTGTACCCCTTCTGCCTTGTCCCGCGGTAGGCAGAGGTAAGCCAGTCTCGCCGTGGGTGGAAGGCCCTGTGCCTGGTGTGAAGGGAGGAGGAGAGGGGAGAAGCTGTGTGTGAATCCACCCGTCCCAATGCCTATACCACGCCATCTTTACTGGCTCGGCATAGCAGAGAAGGGTGGCTGCACTCCTTTGCACAAGTGTATTTATTTATTTATTATTTAATTTATACCCCGCCTATCTGGTCGGCATCCCGTCCCTTGAATACCAAAACGTGTGCATCACACAGAGAGAGAAACACACACGTCTAAGTCAGTGTCACACAACTCTTGTTTTATACACACACAGGCCCAAACTGTACAAATTATGACACACATATGTACATCCCTTGTTTCAATGTCTGTTTTAAACTCTGTTCCTTATTTAGTTTGCTAAATAATGAGAGTTGCTCGAGAGTGACAGGTTTTTATTTAAAGTTTTGCCCACACAGGAATTCTTGTGAGGCTTCATACAGTATATTCCAAAAGTTTTGAGCTAAAAAAGAAAACAACACCCAGCTGTGTGCTATAAAGGCGTGAAAGCTAGCATCCCTGTTGAGAAATTTTTTTGAGGGTTTTAATCCTCTTCCTTTTAAAGCAAGGGTGATCCAATGCCTTAGGGATTCCTTAGAGGTCCCTATCCACTTTTCCGTGACATCCTCCATTGCTTGGTAGCTTTTCCCATCCTTTGTTGGTGGCTTTCCCCACTCTAGAAAACCAAAATGCCTCTCCAAAGGTTTATATAACATACATCGAGAGTTTTAACCCAAAATAAGCTGCCATGTTTTGGTCACTGGAATGGCCCACCACTAGAACTCTGAAATTGAACCCAGAGCTATGGGCAAAAGAGGTTCGTCAGCCTTCCTTTAAAACAGGACAGTGCAGCCCTTCAGATGTCACCCTGCAACTCCCAGGATTCTTCACCACTAGCGATGCTGCCTAAGGCTGATGGATGTTGCAACCCCCACAAGATGTGCGCTTGTCCACCCCTCTAGTTAAAAGGCTGGGACTTAATTCTGCAATGAACAGAATAATAATGTGCAGGCTTGGAAACAATGCAAATAGAGTATTTTCATGGAGAATCCCTACAATTACATTCTGAAATGGCCAGAGGAAGTGCTAGAGAGCAGTTCTCAGTTCCTGCTCACCATGTGCACACATCTGGGGAATATACACAGCGTTCGAAGGGAAGGGAGTGTGCAAGGCACAAGGTTTATGTATAAGGCAGTTGAAGAACCGTGGCTCCATCTTGGAGCCATGCACATTTCTGTCCAGACTGAGTCAAACAATAGTAGAGCATGCAGACAGCCAGATCCAAAGGCAGTTACAGGCTCAGTTATATTAAACTGAAAATGCAACAGCAAAATTCTTAGCATGACTGGGAACAAAACACAAAAGAACAAAACACTTTAAAGACGGATTAAGAGCCCTTGTTTGTTTAGACGCCAACCGTTTTGGCTGTGTCACGGCTGATGGCCGAAACATTGCAAAATCCATGTCACCCAGAGGCCAGAAAAGAATGGTTCTACCCTAGAACGCTGGATATCAAAAGGGGTATCCACATGATACTTTCACCTGCTGATCTGTCTCAAGGAAAGGATGCTTCAAGGCCGCACAGTATTTCCTGCCAATTGTTTCAGATAGGCCAATTTACAGGTATCCTCTTGGGCTGCATAGCAAGGAGGCAGGTGTTTGCAGGTATCTGCCACTGCCAAGCTCTGCATAACCCAGAAGGCAGCACCTTACCCCTTTTGACACATGAGAGGTCAATCTCATTTGGGAAACAAATATAGCTGAAAGTGTTTCGTATTTACATAGGAGACTGCCAAGGATCTCCAGCTGGGGCTAGAAGAGAAATTTATCTTGAGATTCTGGGGGGGTCTAATTCAATAGAAAGCATCTTATTATAGCTTATCATCTCAGGCCTCTTTTGGTCCTACCTGCTACTGCACGTGCTACCTCTTCTAACAACAAAAGGCACAAAGGTGTGAGGGCAATGCCAATAAAAATACTACATACATCGCCGCGGCTAGCTGAGTACTGATGGGAACACCACGGGAAGCTCCTCATCTGGAGCCTTTTTCTGTCCAGAAAGGTCCCACATGAGCCTGGCCTTTGTACGTGTTAAAAGGGGTGGGAAGTTTAATAAGACCTATGTTTAGAAGGTGGCTTTGTTAAACCCAGTTTGGGGGGCAGGGGGAAGAGGCTGTGATCCTGCCCAAACTACTCGGAGAGGAGAAAAGAAGAATGCCAGTGGCTCTGGACTAGCTCCAGAAAGATACAGTCTGAACAGCCAGCTCTTGCTTTGAGACGAACCCTTGGCCCCACTCGACGGTGGTCCAAAGGGTTACTGGGCTTTGACCTGGCTGTTGGGCAGGAGGGGCTTCCCCATGTGCTGGCCGACCGTCAGCCCGTACTTCTTCCCCTCCTGCTGTTCCTTGACCTCTTTCTTCAGCAGAAAGCCCCCCTCGAAGGACAGCTCGAAGTCCTTGCTAAGGGCAAAGGTGAGGGGCTTTTCGTCCCAGATGGTGGCCAGCCGCTGCTTCCATTTCTCCAGGATCTGGGTGCGGATGTCCGGCGGCGTGTGGCTGATGCTGTACGCAATCTGGGGCTCTAAGACTTGGAAGCCACAGAAGTGGAGAGTGCCGCTCTGGGAGGGTTAGAAGACGTGCAGAAGACAGTGAAACCCCATTCCTCTCGTGAAACTTATCTCGAGGGACTTGAGGCTCAATGAACGGGGTGGGGGTGGGAGGACGCTGGCATGTCCACCACATATTCCAGTAATTAACACGGCCTTCAAATTACTCTAGTTATCTCCGGTCTGTGACCCTCTTTCTCTTTTTCTAAAATCTTGACATTGAGGTCTCCATCTACAGTTTAACCCAAGGTCACAACTACTAAGAGCTTGTTATGAAGCAAAGACCACAACTCCCATTATGAGCTGATTCGAGTACTCAGATCACCAGGGGAGGCCTTTCTCTTGGTCCCGCCACCTTCCCAGGTGCGCCTGGTGTGTGTGGGGGGACCCAGGAGAGGGCCTTCTCTGTGGCTGCTTCCAGACTCTGGAACTCCCTCCCACTGGAGGCCCAACTGGCCCCATCTTTGCTGTCCTTCCCCAAGCAGGCAAAGACCGTTCTCTTCAGGGAAGCTTTCCCTGAGATTGCCTGTTCCTTAAAAAAATAAAAATAAAAAATAAAAAAGACAAAATCCTTGTGGCACCTTAAATACTGTTATATTTTAATGTGAGCTTTTGTGGATGAGTCCACTTCTCCAGGCATACGACGTGGCTGTCAGGCTGGAGTTGTTTCACGTGTCTGAAGAAGTGGACTTGTCCAGGAAAGATCACATTAAAATATAACAGTTTTTAAGGTGCCACCGTATTTTTGTCTTTTTAAATTTTTCATTGGTTTTTGCCCGATAGGCTTGCACAGGCTCACACGGTTCCCTCTTCTAAAAGTATTCCTCTAAAGAAAACCTGGATCCGTTTGTTTCCTTACCTGTACAGGCCAGAGAAGGATATTGACATCTCCGTTGATGCCTTCGGGGGTGTACATGGAGCCAATCCCGCCCGTGGTAAAGGACAGTAAAGTTTTCTTGTTCTGCGGAAACCAAACCTTAGTCATGTTGCGTGCTGCTGACTCGGAGCAGCCCCAGTGCGAGGAGGATGCCCTGCAACCAGCCAGGCTGCGTCCCCTGGGAGAGAGCTAAAGCGTGGAATGGGATAGGATGGGGACCAGAACCACCTTTTCAGTCCTCCTTCCCCACCCCTCCAGAGCACAGACTACCTTGAAGGGTCCCTGTTCATACATGGCGGTGTACGAATAGGAAAAGCCAGACGTCAGGACACGCTCGAACCACCCTTTCAAGATAGCCGGGACCCCGAACCACTGGAGGGGGAACTGGAACACAAAAAAAGAGAAGATTTTGAGATGGGGAATATTAGGGTCCTCCTCACCTCTGTTTTGATGTGCCAGGAAAGCATGGCTGGCAAGGGTTAGTTTTGCCCCACAAGGGCGTCTGCATTGGTGTTTCGTTTTGTTTTTCTGGGGAGGGGGTGGGATTTCACCATGGTGGGTTGGCATAATCCCAGCACACTCCCAATACAACATGGTGCATCTGTTCATGTCAATACAAATGTAGGGTTTCAGGTACAGTGGTGCCTCACTTAATGAGTGCCCCGTTTAACGACGAATCCGCATACCGATGCAGATTTTGCAATCGCTTTTGCGATCGCGTTGTGATGTTGACTATGGGGAAAAATCGCTTTGCAGGCTACATGTCCTCCCCCCCCCCCCCCCCGTGAGTTGGGTACTCCATTTGCAGACCTAGACAGGATGGAAGTCTGAGTCAACCTTGAGCTGGGGTCTGTCTGCATGGAACTCAAGTTCGGAGCAGAGTCTTAACTGCAGTAATGCAATTTAACCATGGCACCATGTTCCAAGGTTTGTGCCGATTCTGATCTTCGAAGCCGGCCCTGCTCCCCTGGAGGGGGCCCTGGCGAGCCGGTCCAGCTCAGCAGCCCCCCCCAACTCACCTGGAAGATGACCAGGTCGGCCGCCTCCAGCTTCTTCTGCTCCTCCACGATGTCGCGGCTCAGGCGGCCTTCTTTCCACGCCGCCCCGGCCTCCACCGCGTAGTTGAAGTGCTGCGGGTCCTTGAGGCTGCCTGGGGCGGAGACAAAGGCCCGGCC